CGAACGTTCCTTATGTCGGTAGCTCAACAATCTACAGAGGATCGACATTGTTCCGTGTATTCAAATCGTCCAATCAGATATTCTCAGCAACTCAGTCGATACATACTGCCTCTACCACGAACAACCTCTACAAGATAGGCAGCGCTGGTGATGCAGCCGCCGCTTGAGGCACTGGCCGACGAGTCAGAGCAACGTACTCATCACGTCGAGAACAGCTGTGCGGCGCTGGAGGGGGTGCCGCAGACGGCACACCAAGTGTGCCTGTTGACCGCGGGAAAGTGCTTGCGTCTAGAGAGCTGGGGCAGCATGCATCCCCGCGACGCCGTCGGAACGCCATCAAAACGACCAGGCGAAGCTAGATGTAGCACGTGAGGCCTTTTAAGAAGAGGCGGGGGAACGACACGATAGCCGCGCAGGTCACTGCGCGCGCACCATCCACACACAGCAGCAGCAGCAGGAGATGGTGAAGATGGGACCATTGCAGCAGCGTGGGAGGGTGGAGACACAGAAAACCGGCCGCAAGGCCATGTGCCCATAGCCGCGACGGGAGGGGCGCGGGAGGGCAGCAAGCAAAACAGCCCCGTGCCGCGCAGCAAGGAGCGCGGGGGAGGGCATCATACTTAAACAATAATTGAGGCCCATAGCCGCGACGGGAGGGGCGCGGGAGGGCAGCAAGCAAAACAGCCCCGTGCCGCGCAGCAAGGAGCGCGGGGGAGGGCATCATACTTAAACAATAATTGAGGCCCATAGCCGCGACGGAAGGGGCGTCGGGGGGGGACGTTCACAGAACACGGCGATATGGTTGTGTGCCCACAGCCGCGACGCGAGGGGCGCGGGGGGCAACAACCAAATAACACGGCGGGAAGGCCGTGTGCTCGCAACCGCGACGGGAGGGGCGCGGGAGGGCAACAATCAATGAAGCCCCATAGCGCGTCGGGAGGGCGTGGGGGGGCAGGTAAACATTAGCCCCGTGGCGCGTCGGACGGGGCGCGAAGGGGGAAGAAAATCAAAGCCCCCATGGCGCGTCGGACGGGGCATGAGGGGGGGAGAATATCGAAGCAGCCCCGTGGCGCGCCGGAAGGGGTGTGAGAGAGAACCTCGCGGCACATCGGAAGGAGCGTGGGGGGGAGTACTTGCATCATGGTGCTAAAATGAAAACTCATTTTTATGGCGAGGCTACAGGCCGGGACGAGCGCTGGGAGGGAAACAACACGCATCACAGTGCTGGATTGGCACTTCTTCCTTGACGGCATTTGGTATTTGATGGTATTCGTAGCGAAGTCGGTAATCCTCCTTGGTTGTCGTGAGTGCACTTTGGTTGAAGAACCAGGGAGGTTGTTCCGTGTTTCTCGGAGGCCTTCGCGTCCACATGTTCAATATTTCCCTGGTAGGCATTCGGTTGAGACCCTCATTGGTTGCGGCAAACTTTGGTGCCGTTCTCTAGGTTTGCGAAATGCGCAGGAATATAGGATGTTGTTGGAATCGCTGAAGGAACGTATGAGGAAAAATTAGGACACCAGTGTTGTACGTCCACGAGAATAGATGATTGTCGAAAAATACATGCCGGTTATGTGTCGCTCAGAAAATGTTGGATGATTGCCTTATGCCCCGATGCGCTGTGTTACGTCAGCAAGGGGGGGGCGATTTCGGTGTTTGTCTGATGTTTGTTTGAAGAACAGACAGTAGTAGTGCAGCCGCATGGTAGTTCTTTGGTCCAACTCCTCAGGATAGTCTTACGCTATTATTGCTCACCAAGAGTTGGGATAGGGCGTTGTTGGAAACAGGGTTATGATCTCGGTACTTTATGCAGGCAGAATGTGATAGCACGCCGCCCACGTTTGTAGATAGAGATTCCGAGCGTGGACTCCGGCGCGACTGGCATTAGTTTATGCATGTGTTGATCTTGCTCTAGTAGCGCAACAACGACAGTGTCTGATGGAGCGGTGAATATTGGTGGGGGCTTTGACCCGGAGGCCGGGTTTCCCCCTGCTATTTTATTGCGTTGGTTTTTGTCTTGTAGTTTTTTGGTCACATCCGGCGTGTGCATGCGCACTAGTGGTTAGTAACTAGCGTAACGACCCAGGGAGGGTGTTCGTGTGTGCATGAGCGGATGAGAATTTTCCAACGGGACTGTAGGAAGTGGCTACGCAGGTAGGAATTGATAGTCCCCTGGGTTTGTTTCGTGGTTGATCCACGGGGCTCGGACCTACGGGAGTGCTTGCTGTGTCGCGGCACTCTCTCTCTCCCGCCGCGTCCTGATCGTGTCTGCTGTCCTAAATACAAGTGATACCATCATCTTCAACACACATACATGGGTATACTAACAACGACTTTTTGACCATGTGGGACAAGTGTTTTGGTGATCGCTGACTGTTGACGTGCAAACGGTGGCGCACCAGCCTGGGAGGGTCCCAAATTTTGTACAACATGTAATGTTTCCGTCCATTACATCGTTTCTGAGCGCCCACCGTCTTCCCTTCCCGTTTTGCGTCCGCTTTGTGCGGTACAAGTCATCGAGCTGGTTGTTCTGCAGCTTGCTGATCTCCCCGCGGGGATTGTCCACCGTCTGGATGCCCTCCAGTATCTGTGAGTTGTGTAACGCCTTGTTTTCCTGTTCGGCGCCACTCATCCAACTGAGCTATTGAGCCTAACCGATCGTCAAAGAGTACCTGTCGAACTCCATCCGCGCGAGCACCACACAGAATGGACTAGAAGAACGCTTGCAGTAGGCTAGAGGTTTGACCGTCAAAATACCCGTTCTTAGTACCCGCGTCAACTCCTCGCACAATCGGAGCTTATCCTTGCTGATGTGGAAAGCGTTCGGTGATCGCTAACGATTCACGTGCTTCCTGTGTCGCACCAGCTTCGTACGGTGCTCTCTGGTGACAAACGTTGTGATTCCGTTATTGCCATCTCTAGTTTAACGCGCACAGTCATCACTCCCCGTTTTGAGCGTTTTCTGCGCGACACAACAACAGCGCTCTGCATGGAAATCAACTTTCTTCGCTCCCCGCGCGGCTTATCAACGGTTTGGATGCGCCAACATATCTGTGTGTGATGCCTCGTGTTTCTCTCCGTGACGTTCATCCACCTGGGCTCCAGAATGCAAACTGATACCTAGTTCGAGAGTATCATGCATTCTAGGCGGGAACACGGCGTGTGGTGGACGAGGAGAACGCCTGGGGTAGGCTAGCGCAATGGCCGTCAAAAACCCTTTCTTGCTACCCAAGCGCAATCCCGGCACAACGGGCGCTACCGCAACGCGAAAAACTATTGACAACGTTGAACGTTTACTCTGGTGTCGCGCGAGCCATGTATGGCGTCTCTCACCTGTATGTAGTATGTTGGCAGAAGGAAGACATGTCGACTGGATGCATTTGAACATCTCGTCTTTGACAGAATTTGGGGAAAACATTCCTGGCTCGGACTCTCTGTGCTTTCATATTGAAGTACTATATGCTGAAAGTTCTTGGTAGTTCGCGCCAGCGAAGCAGCGTTAGATTGCATGCCGGCAGACTCCATCTAGCGGGCACTCGGAATTGAACGCAAGTCCGGGAGCCGAATGATTTTCCCCGAATATTCACTGTGGCCTGACATATCGTACACCATTCACGTCGACTTAGACGTGCAGATGATTGCAAGGCGGCTGCAGCCGTGATTACTGACGCACAAGCATTGTACCGGCAGGTGATATAATCATGGGGATGGTACAAAGTTAGTTTCAGACAATCGCATACAGCGAAATGAAACTTCCGTATAGAAGTATTTTGACTCGCTCTCCCGCCTCGCTTTCCCCGTTCCTCTGTCGCATGCAACTGCTTCAGGTTCCTTAATGATAACTCGCTTTGCACGTTACGTTTTGGGGTATTCGATGGCTTGGAATCGCTCTCCTGGCTGTCAGTGCACAGCGCTGGAACGTGTCAATATTTCTATTCTTGAACGTTCACCGCTTGGTTCTCATGCCTGGCATCAATAACCCCGCTGGTACGAGGCTGACAAGGTGGCTCTTCCAAGTAGCGCTACTCGTGGTGGACCACGAGACTTTGTGCGAAGACACTCCCGGTATTATAGAGGGTAGATATCTCGGGCGTGCAACATACGATACGTTCCCTTATATCGTGCCGCCCAAACGCTTGCTTGCAGCGGGAATAATAGTGCCTTACTTAATCCACTGTACTGTAGTCCCATGGCAAAATATACTTTTGCGGCTCACAGTAGTGATGGTGGCAACTGGGCATGGTCTTCGGGTACAAATCAAGAGCAATTTTGTATGTCGTTTCGCATGGGTCGCCCCGGTGGTCTAGTGGTGTCCTCGAAACCGCTAGTCGCACAGTTCGTGAGTTCGAATCCCTATGTGGTGAAACATTTGTAAGAAGACACAGCTCAAAAGCTCCCATGAGTACCAAACTCCGACGTTGGCACCGTTGACGAGGGAAATGAACGGGTGGACCTTTCTCGCGATAAATGTAAAATTCAGCATGCACTGCAGGAGGAAAGCGGGGCACTAAAGTATAAAAGAGAAGCAAAAAGCCCTAGTGCTTACCCCTTCCTCCCTTCCTGTGTGACCCTGAATGGTTGTAGTTATGCTACGACAACATACACTGAAACGTGTAGTGCACGCCTCACCACGAAAAATGGGGGGGACTGTCGCCATAATAAATAGGAGGAAAAAACAAAGGTGCATCAAAAGGTAGCATCCATTCCTTCGATCCGGGCGACCCAGTTGATGTTTATCGATTGTCGTTGATGCTTTGTGTCTAGGGATGTGTGACTTCCGCGTTCGAGCAGAAAAGTGGTACATGGCGGGTACCCACTATTATAGCAGATGATGTTAGGCAACTCATGATGTGACCATCGCAATTTTTCCGTGAATCGTTAGCGCATTCACTACCGTCGCTGCCCCAGCCAAAACCCGTCTCTGACGCTTACGTGCTCTTTCGCTCCATCGAGGGGTTTGGGAGATAACAACGAGTTGCAGTGCCTGCCCTCGTTGAATGATTTGCAGTGCCTGCCCTCGTTGATCGGGTGAGCAACCGTTCGTGGTGCACCGCCTTTGACACGTTTTCGCGCCGAAAGAAAGGAGCATACGATCCCGTTCGTTTCGTGACCTTGGTCGGGTCTATGCTTAGTACACGTGGAACGCATTCCAAGTCAAGTGCCGCAATGTCTACTCCATGGCCGAACGTCCGCGCGGGCCAAAGAGCGTCGTCTCTCGCTAAGGTATCCATTCTCCACCAGGGTACGATTCCCCGAACCGCACTTGATGTCGGCGTATTCATGAGGGAGTGTAGCTTTGTCCTGCAGACTCGCCGTCTGGAGGTGGTTGAACGACAGTCCCACCCCTCAGATCGAAACGCACATTCTCTCCTTGCTACCTTCACCGCGTTTCAGGTCACCTCTTCTCACGGACGACCACCTGTCCCTCCCAGATGGCTTCGAGGATGGCGGCATGTGCTGTGAGACTCAACAATTCTATTCATTTTCTACTCACAGCTAGCTTTGGGTGGCACATTCATGGATGCTTCGTCGCAATTACAGACATCGTCGACTCCGCAACAGGCCTACTGCTCTGTGGAACGAATGGTTCAAACAACACTTTGAATGGTGTCACATCTTCTGCTCGTCAGAGGAATACTATAAGGTCCGTAGCAAATGGAGTAGTAGCCGCGGGTAGTCATCACATCATTTCGGGAAGGTTGGCCCTGGCCGCCTGAACACGAAGAAAATAGGGACTCTCAAGGACAGGACAGGCGTACCGAACAAGCAGCTCTCACCACTTAGAGCAGAAAACACAAACAAAACCGTCATATCGCAAGGACGACATGTCGGAAGCTTGCGCTTCACACATCCTGTGTGCCAGGGGAAAAGAAAACTCTACGAAAGACGATTCCGCCTCTCCACCTAAGCTTTCTACCAATGGTCATTGGCCATGTAAGGGACCGAGTGGCCGGCACCGTGGCATTCAAAGGGTTGCTACATGAACAGATCACGACAGGTTCATGAGCCCCCGGACACCTTGCCTTCATGCTTGTACCTTGCGCTTGAGAATGGCCCTGCCTGTCCTCCTGAGTCTCCTTGCCCAAGGTCTTGCAATGCTGGTGTTTCCTTTCACAGCTCGCCCTTCTGTAGGGGACGACGGGGCATGAGCATCAAATGAGTCTTGCACTCCTGGAACGGATGGTTACATCTGGAGCAGCAGTGAGTGGGTAGCAACCCTGAAGATAGCAATGCCGTTTGTGGTGGGTGGTGTTGCGGAAAGCCTCTACGCCATAATGCATACACTGGCAGCGCGAGCAGATGACGAACTTTGTCCGTGACCACCGATATCAAAACCAACATCCCACTTCCGCTCGCATGCAGGCCTTGGTTGACGTTTCGGCAGCAAGACTTGTGCTCGGAGTGGCACGGTCGAGCCGAGAGGATCAATTTCGCTTCGTGAAATCGCCGCAACCACAGCCTTGAGCTCGTGTTGAACAACCTTGAGCTCACACTTTGACGAGATTATCAAGTATCCCTGACCCTCCACACCGCACGGTTGGTGTTATCTCCAGTGGCGACGCCAGTAAGGAAATCGTGCTTCGACCCAGGGTATGACCTTTACGGATGCGAGCCTAGCAGCACCCTAGTGTGAGATCACGGCACAATGGACGATCCATGAAAGACGCAGCCCGGGCATGGTGATGACGGGGGATATCCACAGCAATCGAACGGGCCGGCCCTGTGCTTCACAATCCAGCCGGAAGGATATGTGGGAATGAATCAAAGTCGATGTGGTGATCACCATGAACAGATGCTCACACACACAAATGCGAAGGCAGAAACATTGCAACCCTTCAGCACTCCCTGCCAACATGACCGATTGAAGTTGTTGCTGACCATCTCCCCGAAGCTAGAAGCTTGTTCCATTCGTGATAAACGCATCCGGCCCTACGTGAATGGTGCGAATTGCCGCTGAATCTCGGCACTTCCACAGTAATCTTGATGACTGCGGAATCGGGAACGAAGAGTTGGAGGACCTCGAGGAATTCTTCGACAACGTTGGGCGCGCATTGGTCGCAACAATGTAAGGCATGGCGTGTTAAAGCTGTGAACCATATTCGTGACAAACATGGCCTGGGAATACTGTCCAACACCGTCGTGAACGAGGCTGGGCTATTCGGCAACATGCACCACCACCTCAGGAGCTTTTCCGTTGATGATCTCCCATCCTCTCTTCGGCCATACAGTTCGATGAAATACAACAGTTGAACGGAGCTGCCGGAAGGTGAAAATTTTCGCTGGATCCGTCAGCATCGAATCCTTGTAAGTGGCTATTGCCCCGACTCGTCGAATAGATCGGAAGCATTTTCTATATTCCGTCACCTGCAGCATGTGGGCCTAGCATTTCCGACAAGGGGAACCACTGTAGTTGCCGGGACAGATGCTCACAAGAGTGTCGCTTCATCTTGTCGATGTGCGGTTGCCGCGGAACTAGACTCCTGCTTTGCCTATAGTTGCAAATACTCTCTTCCACCAAGGTGGTCTGACGCGGTACCAGGCCCGCAAGTCAATCGCGTTTCATCGTGGCGGCACGAAATTTACACTACATATCGGTCAACACATTCAGCGGACATACCGCTTGTTCCGTGAAAATAACTTCATCGCCATCATGTGCTGTCTGGCTGTTGTCAGAATGCTGAAGCAATATAAATTGGAGACGCGGTATGTGGAAAGCTTCGAAGGCTGGGGGGGCGCGCTGACTTTGCTGTGAGTGGCTGAGGCGTAGGCGAAGATATATTTGGATCCTCCACCAGTCAGGACCCACTATTCCCACGTGCTTCTGTGCTCTTGACTACCCTTTACTCGGCTTCTGCGGAACCATTGATTTCGACACCGATGCTTGCGCGAATGAGGTCAAGTTGTTATCTTGTTCCGGTGTATGGTGATCAGTTCGTTGTTGCTGTCCGCATGTGGTCGCTCGGAAAAACTCAATAACAACTTATTTCGAGTGCAAACGTCCGCCGCTGAGAAAGAAGGCACGATTCTGTGTTGTGACTATCATGGAGAAAGGGATCAAACAATCTTCCAACGTTAGTCAGCAATGAATGGTGGATTTGGCTCTCACAGCTCCCCCGGTAAGACTCGTTGGCACTCTTCGGGTTGTCCACAAGCAACACATACATTCACTAGCAGGCGTGGTAGTTTCTACGAATAGTAGCCTTGCTCTGAGAAAAAAGGACGACTCGGTGTTGAATGTCACGGGGAAAGAAAATCGAACGTTCTTCCAACGTTAGTCATCAAACATGGGTGTGGCTCTCACAGCTCCTCGGCGAAGACCAAAGGTGCTTCTAGGGTTCTCCACGAGAAAACGATGCACTCACTAGCATCATGTACGAATCGTAATTTTAACCTTGCTTTTGGAAAATAGAGGAGAAGGTTTGTCGCCGCACAATCACCGGCGTGCTCGGGAGCAAGGTGAACACTTTCAACGTCGCGCTCAACCCATCTATTATTCCATGTGCGCGCCATCCCGTGTGCACTTGATCATGCCATCTATGGCAACAACAAATGATAATGCGGTTGTGGTGAACATACCCCCAGGAAAAGCCGGTTAACCACGATCCCCGTGGGCTGCTTCGACAATCTCGTCGGGCTGCAGACGATGTGAGTGCATCTCGTCCTTACATTGTTGTAGAGAAGGACTGAAATGCGTTGGTTTCCTGCGGGACACCTTTGCCGATACTTCAGGCACATACCGTGCCCAACGGGGTCGAGGAGGGTAATATATCTACACATGAAACGTCCTGCAAGTGTTTCGGGTGCCTCATGCGGGGAGCGCTCCGCGCCCGAGCCCCGGCATTTATCTGAAGAATCGGTCCCCCGAATTTTGGCCACACATTGAACCTGCCTAAACGAGATGTAGGTCGGCGCACAATAGCAACGAAGGATACTTGGAACGTTTTGTCCTCTTCTTTCTCATATACTATACTATGTGTGTGGCAGCGTTTTGCAGCATCGGTGGATGGGCAGCTGATCGCGTCAGGTCTCAACACTGGTTTGGAATCAATCAGATAGGCAGTGCTCCTACGCACACGGGTTGCACTACATAATACCTCGCTATCAAGCCCATGTGATCGCGTTTTCCGCCCTGTGGCTGATTTCTTTCTCCATTGTTCTACGAATTCAGGACACGGGAACGACTTAGCGTGGTTACCTGTGGGAGGTTTCCGCGGCTTGGGGGAGCTCGGCAGGTTGTAAGCGCGCCAAATCTTTCTAGACTATGAGTACACCGGCTGCTTTATAGGACGTATAACATCATGAACCATTCCACAAGGCCGTTCCAGTGGGGAGTAAGGAAGCGTGTCGTGGAGATTACTGAAGCTCACACGTAAACGACATTATCGGAAGCTAGGATGTGTGCCATGGACTTCTACGTCGGTCGAGAAGCATCGAAAGGAACTTCGTTCGTATAACAGGCATCTATTACAACATTAGGCCAATGCTCTCTCATCGCCATCTGCGCGGTGCTGTCGCCATTGTTGCCGAATTCATCTTTCTCTTGGATGGTTGGCACCTTCATTGTGAAGCGACCTCGATTGAGTACTCGTAGCTTCACGGGGATCATATGGACGTCCCTTCACGTCGTTGAACTTGAATGTATCTGGGCTGCAGGCGTCACTCTGGCTGCGGGCATCAACTGTCTAGAATGGCAATACCACATGGTCTATTTTGGGGTCTTGAACGTTCAGCTCACGTGTCCCGCTTGGTCCTATATTTTTTTCTCACGTCTACCACGGCTGCAGATCATTGGCTGGAAATGCCCTCTCCACGCTTCCTGCAGGCCTCATTGATGGTATAGAGGGCCTTACTGTTCTGTGAGTGTTGGATCCTCACACTGCTCTGCTGCTCTCGTCGACATGTCATGACGGTTGAAGAAATCGTTCTTGGTCAGCGTAATCTGTTTGCGGCCTACGCCACTTATTTATCGGGTGAGACTGTTTTGGTGATGTATTAACTTCACGGGAGGTAGACGACCGTCCTTCACACGGACGAAAGAGGGAGTGCTCAAAGAGCGGCTCCCACAGCAAGGAGGGGCCCCGTGAATCATCGCGGTGCCCCCTATCAAACGGTTATCTTACCAGTCTGCGTGACACAAAATCATCCAGCACATGTATCCAACAGCAATGTTCGCAGACTCACGAACACCCTCCCTGGTTCTTCACGCAAGTGACTAACCATCAATTGGGCAAGAACGCCCCAGGATACATCAGAAAATACCAACATGGTAACATATGGAGGGGAAACCCGGCGTCCGGGCAAAACCCCTCAAGGAAAAACCCTTCCACCACAAAAAACCGTCGCTATCACAGCGGCTTACAACGGCCGCACTTACCAAAAAATCCAAGGCAAGTGCTAAAAACTGCTACATCTACTCCGGCAAATTCATCAGCTTGCGCCGGTGGTACTGCAGACTGACCCTGCTAAGGGCCTTGGTAAGGAGGTCCGCGTGTTGCTCCGTTGTCGGAACAAACTTGACCGAAATATCCCCCGACCTAAACAATCCTCGGATGAAATGATACCTCACGTCGATGTGTTTCGTGCGACCTGAGCTGAGGGGGTTCTGCACCAACGCTATGGCCCCCTGGTTGTCCTCAAGGACCTTGATGCTGCTACCACTGGTCTCTGGGGCGACAAACGAAAGCACAGCACGCACAAACAACGCCTCCTTGACACCCTCCCCGGCAGCAATGTACTCGGCTTCCGTTGAAGACAAAGACACGATACTCTGCGTCTTGCTACCATGGCTGACTACGGTACCTCCAACCGTCGTCGCCAACCCTGACACCGAACGCCTATCCTCCGTGTCGGCGTAGCTAGCGTCTACGTACACGGCCAGCCCTAACCCCGATCCCCGTTGGTAGGTGATGCCGAGGTCCCTCGTCCCTTTCAGGTAGCCGAGGATCTTCTGTATGGCATCCCAGTGCCGCTTCGCCGGGGCGTGGGCGTGGCGCGCTACCGCACGCACGGCGAACGAGACGTCTGGACGCGAGAAAGTCGACACCCACATCATGCTGCCGATGGCCTCCCTCACCGGCCACTCCCCTCCTTCCTCATCCTCTCGCTTCGGCCCTAGATCGGCACCAGGGGTAGCGGGGATGCGGGAAGTTGATTTCACATCGAAGCGTTCAACCATGCTGTCGATATACGCGGTTTGGGAGATTCTAAGAGTCCCAGCCTCTACATCTCTCTCGATGGCACACCCATCAAACCATTGACACTCTCCAAGGTTTTTGGTGGGAAATTTCTTGTTGAGAGAAGCAAGCAACTCCTCGCAATCCTCGTCAGACCCAGCCACCAAAATGTCATCCACATAAATCACGATAATCATCACCACGACTTCGTCTACCATCTTGCGGAAAACACACGGGTCCGCCTTGCATTGCTCGAACCCGTTCTCGACTAGCGTATCAGCAGCGTGGTACCCCCACTGCCTACCGCTCTGCTTCAGACCATAAATCGCACGCTCAGCCTTAGCAATCTTATGCGACTTGTCCCCGCACCCAGCGGGGAGCTTCAGAAAAACCTCCTCGTCTAGCGTAGCGTGTGTATACGCCTGCTTCACATCCCAGTGATTGAGGTTCATGCCCTTCTCGTTCGCTACCGCAAGCATCAGCTTAATGGATGCGGATGAGGGGCAAGGGGAAGACGAATGGAAATAATCGACGTTCGGGATTTGCGAAAACCCCCTAGCAACCAGACGCGCTTTGAACGTGTCTATCTTCCCTTCCTTGTTGGTCTTCCAACTAAAACACCACTTTGAGCTCACAGGCCTGCGCCCCTCTGGCGCACCGTCTACGAATGAAAACGTCCCCGTGCCCAAGTGCCCTTCAAACTCTTCCCTCATGGCCTGTTCCCACCCCTCTCGGTAAACAGACTTGGCAACGCCGGCTACAGTCATGGGTGGGGCTTCTACATCACTCGGACGCTTGCCTATGGGGGATTCACTTAGCTCGTGGGACGCCAGAGCCGTCTCGAAGGCGTCTGGCGAGTTGAGCATGAGGTCCACCGTACCCAGCAGGAAATCCTCCGCCTCTTGGCGCGCAGCGTGGGCCTCCTGCGCGCGCTCGGACAGCAACTCTCGCACCACCCTCGCCTCTAGCCCCTCCGCCACGTGAAGTACTGCCGAGAGCATCCAGCGGGTGAACTCCTCCGTGCTGCTGTCGGGCAGGCTCGCCACCGAGGCGAGCAGGGCTTCGGCACTTGTCGGCGACGGGGCCGATGTGGGCGGCGACGGGGGCGACTCGTACCTCGGATTTCGGCGAGGGTTCTCCCTAGTGCGGCGGCTGGTGAGTTCCGCCGGCTTGTCGAAGCGGGCGAGCCGCCGGGCCTCTGGCCCACAGAGCGCCGGGAGATCCGTCTCGCTGTCGCTGCCACTGCTGCTGTCGCTGCCGCCGTCATCGACGCTGCTGCCACCGCTGCTGCTGTCGCTGCCACTGCCGCCGCTACCGCGGCTACTGCTGTCGCCGCCGCTGCCGCCGCTGCCGCCGCTACCGCGGCTGCTGCTGCTGCGGCGGTCGTCCTCGCCGCCGCCCACATCGGCCGTGCCGGTCGACGTGGTAGATGGGGCGACGCTCGCGCTCTCCCTGCTCGAGGGGGCGCCATCGCCAGCGTCGCCCGCGCCCGACTCCTGGGGCGCGGCCGGCGGTGCCGCCGGCGCTGCGCGCGCGGGCGGCCCCGCGGGCCCTGGGGCTGCCGTCGTGCCAAGGTTGAAACCTGGTCCTCCATCCACAGGTTCTCTCTCCGCCCTCCCTCCACCTTGGTTCGACGCGCCCTCCCCAACCTCGTCCTCCTCAGTCGCGAATTCCTCTTCCTCCTCTTCGATGGGAGGCAGCGACTGGGGCAGGGCGGCGGGGGCGGCGGGCACGGATTGCCAGGTGAAGTTGCGAGTTGTGATCGCTCGGCGTTTTTCGTTGAGGATGCGCACGCAATCACGGTTGGTGTTGATTCCCGGGCCGAGGTAAAAACACTTTTGGGCTTTCGGCTCGGACTTGTGTGTGCGCTTGACCTTGTATACGGCAGGTTTGAGGAACGGGTACGTCGCCCCCGGCGGGGGAGGGTGCCCGTGCCACATCTCGTACGGCGACTTCTTCTCTGGGTTGGATGTGGTGGAGGTGCAGTTCAGGGCGTTGCATGACCAAGCTATGGCCTCGGCCCAAAGGGATGGGTAGTTCGGTGCTCCGGGGTAAAGAGTTGGTGCTTGGATACGGGCGGCTAGTGCTGCATCCTTGATCAGACCCAGTGCTCTCTCAGCTACACCGTTGTATTCTGGGCTGTGCGCGGGGGTGAACTCCTGTTTGATGCAGTACTTCCGGCACACCCTGCCGAACTCTCCCTCAAAGAACTCTCCTCCGTTGTCAGATCTCACGACCATGACATCGGACGGGGCACCGTTTGCCCGGTTTTCGGCAAGGTACCTCTCGAATGCCTCAGCTGCGTCTGATTTGTGCTTCAGGAAATAGACACGGTTCCACCTTGTGTAATCATCCTTGACAATGAGAGTGTACCACTTTCCCCCCAAGCTCTGCACCCTAGCTTTTCCACTCAAATCCACGAAAACTCGCTGCAGTTTCTTAACTGCTCGGGTCGACGTTTTGTTGGGGATGGGCTTGGAAAGCCCCTTCGCCGTCGAGCACCCCAGGCACTCCCGGAGCTCGCCCACCAGCGTCGTCCCTTGCTGCTTCGCCGTGGTCCTCAGCAGCACCTCGTGGGAGTGGCCGTGCGCGCAGTGGAAATCGTTGATGTCAACGGGGGTGCTGGGCGCTTTCGCGTTGCCAGGAGCAATTGCGGCACAGGCATGTTCGGTGTGTGTGCGGAAACCGTTTTGGACGTACAGGTTACCGCATCGGGGGAAGTACACCACCTCCCCCCCCCCTCTCTCCAACTCCAACTCGTGTTTGTTGAGGGTTTTGGTTTCGAACCCGTCGTCGAAGAGGGAAGTGAGAGATACTAGGTTGTAGTCTAGTCGGGGGACGTGTGCAACCCGTTTCAACAACAGGTCGGTTGTACCGTCGCGCGAGCTAAGGGTTACCGTCACGTCGCCATACCCTACGATAGGGAAGGTTTCTCCGGCGGCGACGCGCACACGTCGATCACACTCTTCGTAACGAACGAACCCATCTGAGTTCGCGAACATGTGGGTGGTAGCGCCGGTATCGGCAACATACCTACCCCGCCTAGCCTGCTCTACACCCCCTCGACCAACGACTTTGTGACACTCGCCTGAGATGTCACCGACCACCAGCGCTTCTTCTGCCACGTCCAGTGCTGTGGCGTCCGCAGACGCCCTCCCCGCCGGCACTTCCACCACGAGCACCGCCTCTTCGGTCGGGCACTTGCTCTTGTCGTGGCCGTAGCCCTTGCATGTCTCACATCGCACGGGCTTGCTCTCGGGGCAGTTGGCCACCTGGTGGCCCTTCTTACCGCACCGGAAACAGCGACCGCGCATGCTACCCGCATCGTCGTCGCCGCCTCCGCTGCCGCCTCCAGCCTTCGCGCCACCCCCTCTCCCCTTCTGGTTGCCGCCGCCGCCGCCGCCACCCTTGCGGCGGCCGCTGTTGCCGCGGCCCGGCGCTCCTCGAGGGGCAATACTATAGAGTGTTTGCGGCCTACGCTACTTATTTATCGGGTGAGACTGTTTTGGTGATGTATTAACTTCACGGGAGGTAGACGACCGTCCTTCACACGGACGAAAGAGGGAGTGCTCAAAGAGCGGCTCCCACAGCAAGGAGGGGCCCCGTGAATCATCGCGGTGCCCCCTATCAAACGGTTATCTTACCAGTCTGCGTGACACAAAATCATCCAGCACATGTATCCAACAGCCATGTTCGCAGACTCACGAACATAATCTTCTTGTTTGATTTCTTCGTAACGGTGATGATGATGCAGCATGTAGGTTAAAAGTATTGTTCGGTAGACACTGTGAGCAATCGCAGACGTTCTGGCAGTCTGCGCTTGCGCATGGTAAGAGCTCCGTTGTCCGATGTTCTTGTAGGACAGAAAAATCAGAAACCCCGCCCCCCAATCTAGACTTAAGTGGGTTGGCGCTGTTGGCAAAGCGCTGTAAAACACGCCACCCCGAATATAGCCCCCATAGTATGCGCTACCAAAGACAGACGCGTGACGCATGGACGCGTGGAGTGAGGATTGCCTACGGAAACCTCACAGGTTAAGTGATGTAGGAGGTTGCTGGACACAAAGACGTGTTGAGTGATTATAGCTGTATACTGAAACCCCAAGGGGTGAGTGAAGTTTGAGATTGCCAGACACATGGACGGGTTGAGTGGGGATAGCTGCATACTGAAACCCCACGGGTTGAGTGATGTTGGAGTACTGGACACATAGACGCGTTGAATGAGGATAGACACATATTGAACCACACAGGTGATTTGTATTGGAGGTTGCGGGACACCTCGACGTGTTGAATGAGGATAGCTGCATACTGAAACCCCACGGGTTGAGTGATGTTGGAGTACTGGACACATAGACGCGTTGAATGAGGATAGACACATATTGAACCACACAGGTGATTTGTATTGGAGGTTGCGGGACACCTCGACGTGTTGAATGAGGATAGCTGCATACTGAAACCTCACAGATGCATTGGTTTTTGAGTTTGCCAGACACAAACGCGTTGAGTGGGGATAGCTGCATACTGAAACCTCACAGATGGATTGGTTTTTGAGTTTGCCAGACACAGACGCTTTGGATGAGGAAAGACACATACTGAAACCTCACAAGTGATTTGTATTGGAGATTGCCGGACACATAGACATGTTGAGTGAGGATAGCTACATACTGAAACCTCACAGTTGAAATGATTTTTGAGTTTGCCAGACACATAGACGCGCTGAGTGGGAATAGCTACATACTGAAACCTCAGGAGGAGTGGAATGATGTTGGATAGTGCCAGGCACATGGACGCTTTTGGTGAGAATGGCTGCATATTGAGACCAACCGGGTTGAGTGACGTTTGCGATTGCCGGACACATCGACGCGTTGAGTAAGGATAGCTGTATACTGAAAAACCACCGTACCTATAGTGAGGGGACAATTCGAGAATGCAGTGCACATAGACCCGACCCCCAACCAGTACCCGAACCCCCCCTGAAAAATAGAGGCCATGCGCCCCCCCCCCCCCTACCTCCCCCAGAGGATGAGGAGGGTACAGTCCAAAGTAAGCACAAGCTAACCCAAGGTTAATGCCTTTGTTACGGCATAAAAAAAAAAATACTAAAGGACCCCATCGGGCGGTGGAGGACTTAGAGCTAAGGCACCCCAAATTCTCCGGCGTGAGATCCAAAATGGATCGGGCGGTGGAG